TTGAGAATATTCGGTAGCTTGAAGGCTACTGGGCCAGAGCTCTGCCCCAATGATGACAATACGTGAAACAATATTTGAATAAGCAGCAGGAGGGCAGGCAGCTAATCCACTGTGGCTAATCCAGTATTGGTGCAGGCCATATTGGTAGCTGGAGTATTCAGCCCCATCACAATACACATCAGCAGGACGCCATGGCAGATATACTGACACTCTCACTACAGGCATGGCTGGGAAAGGCCAGCAGATGGATGGATAGGTGGATGGAGGGATGGATGGATGATATAGAGATACATGAATGGAAAATGTACGGCTGGAAACCCTTGATATTGATGCAGTGGTTTCTTTATTTCACATATTGTCTGTTCCTCGGTGTATCTTAATTAGAGTATTTTAAGAGAACGAAAAAACTGGAGTTGTAGGATTAAGACAAAAAAGAGGTGATAAGCTTCAACTCTCAATGTCCCTCAAAGCTCTGTGACATTGTCTACTTTTAAAGTAAAGATGAACACAAACAGACTTGAAACATCGACATTGAAACAAACTCACTCTATGTCTAACGCAATAAAAGGATCCACTGTACTAGATTCTCCTTATCCTTTGTTTTGTAGCCACCATTGGAGCCACACAAAAATACTCGTCTCCAATTAATTATCTTAAAGAGCAGAGGTCTGTTCCTCTTTCAAGGGGTATATAATGAAGATTTCACTCTCCGTGAGCATCTAAATGGGTCTTTGTGCTGGGAGGCCCCCAAGAGATAAGCCTGTTTCTGACAGGCCTCCGTACAGACGCCCAAATCTGCTGTGGCAGCTGGAACAAAGGGACCCCTGAGCTGGACCAGCACACTGACAGAAAGCTCCGTCTCAGTAGGCTATGGGGGCTGCCTCAATTTAAGAATTAATAATCCAATTTTATCTTCACTGGAAATGGTTGTTTTTCATCACATACTTGACAATATTTAGATGGTAATTTATTGGGTCTCTGTGTATTTTCATTGAGACTGTGCAAATAGTTCAAACTATAGCAATCAAGGGTCATCAGTCAGTGGATATGGATCCTTCATTTGGCATTGACATTATAATTAATCAGTACCAGCTGCAACGGATGGATGAATAGATGGATAGATAGATAGATAGATAGATAGATAGATGGATAGATAGATAGATAGATAGATAGATAGATAGATAGATAGATAGATTGATTGATTGATTGATTGATTGATTGAAAGCTAGATAGATAAATAGATGGATAAATCCTGTATTGTCTAATGTCATTTGATGTCATTTCATATGGCGATATCATTATAATTGCCGTGACATTATACATTCTCTGGAAATTCTGTTGAGAAACCAAATAATTCTCAAATAATCAAGGTCATTATTTACATACATTGATGCAAAGATTATTTAAAAGTCCAATGTTGCCATGAAGCCATCCTAGTCATTGATTTGCAACATTCTCACAAAACACACTTGTCTTGAAGTGTCACAGAAGGAAAAGCACAGATGATAAGACTGATGGCGGCTGAATTCAGTTTCAGCCTCGTGGTGTCGCGCATGCTGGCTCCCTGTCAGACTTTCATGGTTTACTGGGACATTTGACTTGAAAGGAGCCATCGTTAATGTAATTCTGGACACCTGTGCTTTTTCCTACTATGACAGGTCAAAGCATCACAATGCTGTGAGAAAGTACAAACCAGAGATATTAAAAGGGTGGACACCCCCGGTATAAAAGGTGTGGCACCATCTCTGAACGATTTACAGAACATTGTTTCATGGTAAATATATATATATCATATGTTCCAACTGTAAAATAAACAAACATCACAAAAAATGTTCATCAGAATTCATTTAAATCTAACTGAATATAAACGTTTTGAATGTGACTGCTGTTCATGTTGAAGTTCAGCTCTAACTCAAAAGGAAGGTAGACAGTTTAAGCATCTACTCATTCAAATAAATGTAGTAAGTTTTACATGATGTCACGATGTGACCTGACTTTTTCAGAGTTTGTACGCATTAAATGAGATATAACATATTAATTAGCGAGCTTTAATTGTGCTGGTGGATTGTGTTACTTTCGTTTGGACTGAGCGGGCCTAGCTGGTTCGCCGTTTCTAGCCTTTATGCTAAGCTAAGCTATCGGTGGTATGAGTGGCATCGGCTTTGTCTTTAAAGGGATAGTTCCGATTATTTGAAGTGGGGTTGTATGAGGTACTTATCCACAGTCAGTGTATTACCTACATTCGATTGGAATTCTATCTACACTGTTTTTATGTACGGAGTCTTGTGGCTTTGAAGAGAGCTTAGATATGAGTTTCACTTTTAGTTCTCCGTCTGAAAGTGCTGTCTGACAGCAAGAGAAAGCGAGGAAAAAACTCTGAATATAGCGTACACTTAAACACACGTCTCACCACTCTCAAGATCACTTAAAGTGATGTTGATTTTTTTTTTAGGGGAGCCTTTCTTTAAGATATCTAAAATATGTTCAGCTGCTGCCCCCGTCCACATCAGAACATTGCTTTGCTCCTGTTCTGGTATTCCGGACTGTTTCTTCAAACTGACGGTGTGCTGCCCGTCATCTACTGAAGGTAAATACACTGACTATGGATACGAAACCTCATACAACCCTGCTTCAAAAAATCCTAACTACTCCTTTAAGTCTTGGCGAGAAAGCAAATGAGCGTAGTTCAACACATAACGAGCTCTGTTAGATTCATACATACAGAAAGAGAAAGAGTGGAGCATGCGGCCAGGTGCATTAGTGCCCCCCCTGTGTGATGACCTTTCTTCAGCTAAGAGCTCAGACCTCCACTATTTCTCACACACACACACACACACACACACACACACACACACACACACACACACACATACATTGTTGAGATTCATTATAGATTCATAAGTACCAACATGCCCCCCAACCCTCCCTCACCAAGACATCATAAAGGTCAAGTTCATCTTCCTCAGTATTCTCTCTTTGTCGCCCTTCCCTCTCTCCTCATTGTCTCTGGGGGCACTGCAGCAACCATAACAACACCAGCCTGTTGCAGCAGGAGCCTGTGCATGCATGTGTGTGTGTGTGTGTGTGTGTGTGTATGTGTGTGTGTGTGTTTGTTGACTGTTATACAAGCCAAAGTGATATGAATTCATTTCCATAATGAGGCGTGTTTAGCTCAGCATGTAAAGTCTGCTGCTAATCAAAGACACTGTACATTTCATCTTCGTTTTTCTCAAAACCACCACTGGAAACATCCCGGTCTGAAAGGCTCCTCTGAACAACGTCACACTGGTTGACTGTTCAACGGCAATTTAAATAGTTTTAGGCTCAAATGACGGGTGTGCAATGCTGATCAAAATCGAATATTTCCAACTGAAATCCTCAATATCTCCATGCCAAATCATCAATACGTGACAATATTTTGGACGGACTACTGGTGCTTTCAAAAGATATTTATAATAAAGTAATATTATAATAATAGAAAGAAACCATTTTTATTGTCATATACATATACACATACACGAAATTTGACCTCTGCATTTGACCCATCCCTGTATATAGGGAGCAGTGGGCTGCCAATGACAGGCGCGGTTCAGTGTCTTGCTCAGGGACACTTCGACACGTGACACGTCCCAGTCGAGGATCGAACCGTTGACCAGACAACCCTCTTAACCCAGTGAGCCACGGTCGCCCCCTATACTGTATGAGCAAACCAATAGAGGCAACAGAGCACACATTTTAAGCTATATCGTGTTATTAAAAAGACCAAAATCACAGAAAATACATATTCTTATTTCACCTTATGAATAGTATATTTACATTGTTCTCTGATTGTACGTATGGTCTTCTCTGATTGCTACTGTTACATGAATGTGAAAAGATGTCAGTTTGATTTTTAAATGCCCCCCCTTTCTGCTCCCCAGGTTCAGATCACTATGGAAGAACTGTGCATCCAGGAGTGGAGAGAGATGAGGACGGGTGTCTGGACCTCACCTGAGCCACCCGACCCTTCCTTCTCCTCATGGGCCAGCCTGAGCGGCTTACAGGAGGCACGGTAAACTACTCTGCTAACCACTGCATGTGACGGTTTGATTTCAGAGGTCTTCTTTATTCATATTTAAAAGAGAAAATTAACTCTGACGTATTCTTGTAGTTTTTTTATAATATTGTACAGCTCAATTTTAATTTGCGAAACTGAAGAAGGTTGGATTTTACCTCGTATTGTACTAACTTGTGCTGCTATTAGTAATTTTTGCTATGAAATCTGTGTTTTATTAGTTTTCTTATAGTATTATAATTAAATACAAATAGCGACATTAATTTTATTTAAGCATTGTTGTAAGCTGAGATAATAACACCTCATGCTGAGAAAACTGCAAAATCCATCTGCTGATGAAGATCTCATAATCAAAAGCTCCACAACCGGTACTAAATGGACCTTTTAGTGAGATTTTTTTCATTGTAATTAATTTTTTATATACAGTTTTTGATGGCCTGCTTTTATAGTAAGACTTAACAACAACAAAAATACAATATTTCCCTCTGAAATATAGCAGAATAGAAGTATAAAGCAGCACAGAGTGGAAATACTCAAGTGAAATACAACTATTTCAAAATTGTACTTGGGCACATTCTCTTAGGTTTCACAGGTAAAACACATGTGATGAGTTCAGTAAAATCAAAACTTGAAATGAAATTATTAGTAAGGGATGTTAAGCTATTGGTAATATGAATGTGAACTGTAGTCTAATCTCTCTCTCTCTTTCTTTCCCTCGCTCTCTCTCTCTCACTAACCCACCCACACACACACACACACACACACACACAAACCGGTGGCAGCCCGGTGCTCCTGACTGACTGACAGCCCGGCGGAGGCGACTGACAAGCAGGATGCTCAGGTGGCGGCGGCCGCGTGCTCTCTCCGTCCCGTCAGTCACACTTCCAGTGGAGGTGGGCTCCGTGATCTGAACACCTGTCCAGAGGTAAGAAAAAAATGCGCGGTGAGTCGGCTTGTTCTATTTCGTCAGTGTTTCTCCTCGAGATGTGGGTTGTCCTCAGATTTGTCTCACATTTAAAGTCGGCTGGTCTCCCGGAGCAAAGTAAGATGTAACCTACCTGCTCATGATTTTCTGTGCTGCTGCTCCTGTGTCGAGCTCTGACAATTTTTCTCAGTTTGAATTAATTCTGACATTTAATTTATCTTAATAGCAACGTGTGGTACAAACAACGAATCATTAACCCTGTAATACACTAATTAGAGTCTATCAGTAGTTTTGCGTTTGTATTGCAATTCCCTCTTGGGTTGGGAAATTATGTAATGACCTCTTGCTGTCGGCAGGGGCGCTGTTGAGCGCGATTTCACTACCCTGACATAGAACTGTGACAGATAGAACCGTTATTATCTGTAATGTGATAGTTAAATTAATACAATGTCAGTGACAGAAAGTAACTAAGTACATTTACTCAACTACTTTACTTAAGTACAATTATGAGGTACGTGTACTTTATTTGGCTATCTTAATCTTATGCTATGCTGTACTTCTACTCCACTGCACTTCAGAGGCAAATTGTACTTTTTTTCTCCATTACAATTATCGGATAACATATATATATATATGTACTTAAGTGGAAGATCAGTGTATGTAGCACATACTGTATTTACCCAATACACTGTCAATGCAATGTTACTTAAACTCACTGCGGTGATGAAAACGAATTACATACATTTACTAAACTATGTATCTAGAGTTCTGAAGTTCTTGTACCCTACTTAAGTATTTTAATTACATGCAATTTGTTTTTTATTTATCCACTGCATTCCAGAGAAAATACTGTACTTTTTACTACACTACGTTTATTTAATGTTAATGCCTCAGTAATAATATAATATATAATGTTACACTGCAAAGTGAGCACTTAGTAAATACATTTTTTTAGTTGTTGCACAAATGCACTTTTCCTTAGGTTGAATACAGGATTGTTGCTGATAATGGAGTCCTTGTGCATAATGGTTTTATGAGTAATTTTACTTAAGTAAATAATTAAAAATACTTAAACCACCACTGCTAAACTGTGAGCTTGTTGATGGGCTATGTGTGTCTCTTCTATTCGTTGTAGTTCTACAAACGCACTACACTACCGCACGGCGCCGGCGCGCACGCACGTATTCGCTCGCGCTGTATTATTGCTCAGAAACCAGCCACCATGGGGACTTGAGGGGGCAGTCGACGGGTCATTTTCGTCAATATTTAATATCAGAAAGCTTTCCATATGCTGCGTTTTGGAGCACACAGTTCGCGCCACTATCCCCAATGCAGCGGATTACGGGGATCGGGCTCACAGAGACGGTAGGACGAACACTTTGTGTGGAAAACACGGGACGTTAACGTAACTAGCTAAGCTAACGAGCTAACCAAAAACTAGCTAACGCACCGAGCTAGCAGCCAGTAGAGTGGAAAACGTGCCCTCGCTTTCTTGTTTTGTTTGATCTCAGATCGGCTGCTTTTGTTGGCGTTAATCAGTTGGAAAGTTGATGTTGCTTCTGAACGAGTTTGTCCGCCACGAATACTCTCACAAAGTATTGTTGGAGTGTTTTGCAGGCAGGCCCGTGTTGTGTGGTTGTAGAGTTTGTTTCTGTAACGTTACCCATCCCCCACCGTCTTTTGCAGGCCAAGATGAATGAGATTCCCACTTCAAAGCACTGGCATCGGTGGTGGCATTGCTGCAAGGCTAAAGCTAGCTGTCTTAGCTTGTTAACATTAGTTGGTTATTTAGGAAATGATCGTGTCCAGCTACACGAAGTGTGAGCTTTGTTTTGACAACTGTTAGCGCTAGCGTTTAAGCTAACAGTTAAACTGACGACAATAACTTAATGGTGAACTTCAGCTTTACGCACAAAACATTAAATAGTTTTTGGTCCAGGCTGGAGTCTTAGTTGCTAGCTTTAAGTAGCCGACGGTATCAATAACACCGTATCTTAGGCTGACATGTTTTGGTTCCTAACGTTACATTTCATATTAGCATTCTACCAATATATTTAATAATAATAATAATACATTTCATTCAGTTTGTATGATCCGCTTCTCCTCGTTCTCAACCACACTTGTTTATATCGTGCTCTATTCTATTTTTAAGTATCTGTTCTGCTCATCATCTAATTCTGCTGCTTGATAACGCTGCTGTGTACATGTATATGTGTGGTCTGACACAACGAAGGGGTTGACAGATGAGTCACCTCTATCAACTTAGTCATAATGTTTATTTCATTGGTGTCAACTCCCGGCTAACTGCTTCTCTTGTTTCCATTGTAGGGTGAATTGTTTGCCAGCAAAATCATTGCTAGAGGGGAACATCTGACCTCTCCCTTGTGCAATCAGAGACATGAGTGTTGTCAGAGAATTACATGGGATTGGGTACCGGGGTGGTGGTGGTGGGGTTGTGGTCTCTCTGAGCGGCCCTACCCACTTTACCGAGGATGCTCCGCGACCCCCAGTTCCTGGTGAGGAGGGATCTGATTTGGACCCCCCAGTCCAGTCAGCCAGCACCCGTCCAAACAACCTTTCCCAAACTCTTGGCTATCCTCCGTCATCCTCGTCTTCTAAAATGGGGGATCTATCGAGCTACGCGCCCTCCTCATCGTCTGCGACCCCGCGTCGCCCGGATCTGGACCTGGGGTATGAACCCGAGGGCTCGGCTTCACCAACTCCACCGTACCTGAAGTGGGCAGAGTCGCTTCACTCTCTGCTGGACGACCAGGAGGGCATCCAGCTGTTCCGAAACTTCCTCTGCCAGGAAGGGTGCGCGGACCTTCTCGACTTCTGGTTTGCTTGCTCGGGGTTCAGGAAGACGAGCCAGGAGAAGAGGGCAAAGCTGGCCAAGGCCATCTATAGGAAGTACATTGTAGACGGAACTGGGATTGTCTCCCGGCAGATCAAAGCCGCCACCAAGAGCTTCATCAGAGACTGTGTGGGAAGGCCGCATCCAGACCCTGCCATGTTTGAACAGGTAATTAAAACACAGATTTAATGTTCCTATTAACAGCAATGCATGTTGGATGACACAGGCTGTCTCAGTTCTTTGACATTGTCAGGTTAAGCCGGACTAAGTGATTGAAATTTGAGGCTGTTGTTTATGACTAATGCAAATCAGTATTGCTGTGTCGGATGGCAGGGTACTGATAATATACACGACACCCAAACTATCGCAGAGATTGACCTTCATAACACACCTCTCTGTGTCAGTGTGGTGTATGTGTAACTAGCTGTATTCATAAACATGGGTTTACTCAGTGTCATTGTGTTTGGAGTGGGTATTAGTTTGCTATATAACATATATAGTAATCCTCGTAAAATGTGTTCACATTTGTTTTCAAAAGCTAAGCAGTGTTGGAACTGTGTTTAGCCTAAATCAAGAGCATAGTTGCGAGCCGACCTAAATGAGTGCTAAAACATTATGTGAAGTGAAAGTAACTTCTTTGTGTATCATTTAGTGGAGCCGCTGTATGAGCTCTGTGCAGTGCAGCGACGATTAGCTAGCCAGTGGGACACACACACTTTTGTTAATGCTACCCAGCCCAAGTGACCGCTACGTTTGTGTGTTTGTTCCAGGCCCAGACAGAGATCCAGGGCATGATGGAGGAGAACACCTACCCTTTGTTCCTGAAGTCGGATCTGTACCTGGAGTACACGCGTACGGGAGGAGAGAGCCCCAAGCCTAACCCCAGCGATCAGAGCCCTTCATCGGGGCTAGCCAAGCCTGTGCCCGGGTACTTACCCACACTCGCTGAGGATGAGGAGTGGAGGTGAGATGATGCAGAATTAATGTCATATACTGCACAGGATTCACGCCTGTCATCTGGAATAATTTCAACAATTCTTTCCACCGACTCATCTGCGTCGCTCAGCGAAGCACGAACAAAACGTCAGAACATTCTCATGACGCGTGAAATAAAAGATCGTTTGTGATGTTTCGGATCTAATTGAATCTGATTTTAGGTGTGGAGGAGGTGTGAGGGAGGACGAGAAGGACGAGGAGGAGTGTGGAGACACGCAAGCTGATAGGCTGACTCAAAGCCTGCTGATGCAGACAGCACCGCATCGAGCCTCGACCAACCGGAGGAGGCCAGACAGCAGGGAGTACAGGTGTGTGTGTCAAGGTTCATAAGGAAGACTGTGATGAATACCTCCATGTTTACACAGTTTACCCATCTCACTTTTATAGTGCATTTTGGCACAAATGCAACATTCCTGAAAACACTTTCCCGATACGTGATATGTAAACGGAAAAAAATATATAAAAGTACATTCCATCGTAGGAAAAGTCTGTTGATTCTTTACTTTAAGGGAACATTTGCCACCTTTTCATGTGGATGTCCAATCGGTGTTGATGGTAAATTTAGTCAATCAAAGCAATAAATTCCTCAGCGCGTGCTGTATTGACAGAGAAGGTCTGTTGATCTTCCTGCATCCAGCAGCGTCATTTGACGTGGAAGGGACGCAGGTGGAGGCAAGGAAGAACTACAGGCTGCTGTTTCAGCTTTGATTCCCAGTCTTCATCTCTGGAAACCCGGGGACGTTCTCTAGAACCCGTCGCCCCGTCGCTTTTATTGCAAATAATCTATGTTTCCAACGCCGCAAGTGGCATCCCAAAACACGAGTGCAGAGGATGTTATGGACAAAGATATATTTAACAATGTATTTCAGCTGTATTTAGCCTGGGTATACTGCTGCGGAGAACTCTGCTTTCTCGGTTAATAAAGCACTCGCTGAGGAATTTATCGCTTCAATTGACTGTTTACCATCAACACTGATTGGGCATCCACATAAAAAGGGTTTCTGTATAGAATTGAGTTGTTGTCACTATGTTCTTTAAATGATTCATTATCTAAATATTGAAGACAAATAATAAACCAAACCTGCTGAGTTAGAAGCAATCAAACATGAGAAGTGGCGAGACATGTCCTGGTCATAGAAATCTTGTTTAATGTAACGGAAGAAAAGCCTCTGAGAATGCATGAACCACTCCTATCTTCATGCTGACCCTTGTGCCTGTGTGTGCATGGATGTGTACGTGCATCAACATTTGAATGCGAGCTCACCACATTATATTCTCTATGCTCATCCTCAGGCCCTGGAGGGAGCCGGTAAACCCATACTACGCAAACATGGGCTACGCTCGCGCTCCAGCCACCAGTGCCAATGACAGTGAGCAGCAGAGCATGTCGAGCGATGCCGACACACTGTCGCTGACCGACAGCAGCCTGTAAGTACAAATGAACCCGGAGCTGCCGCATGCATCTCTGACAACACACGGGTTCTCAGAATGAATTAGCTGTTCAGATCTGTTTAACCGTTGTTTATCTCTGTGTGTGTGTGTGTGTGTGTGTGTGTGTGTGTGTGTGTGTGTGTGT